CTTAAAAACTGTAATGGCAGGGGCCAACATTTTGGAATTGATATTGATGGTCTGAAAATGCTTGTTTAGTCTAACCTAAGGCAACACTCTTGTGAAATGGCTCTGAAATTGTATGTCTCTCATGAAACAATATGTAAACATCTAAGGAATATGAGAAAAACTCCATATAGGAGGTGTTTGGGTGCCTCATGAACTCTCTCATGATCATCGTTTCCAACGTGTGAACATTGCTTTGTCTCTTCTGGCTCATAATGCTTGTGAACCATTTTTGGACAGAATTGTCACCGGTGATGAAAAATGGATTCTCTATGTGAATATTGAACACCAAAAATAATGGCTCAGTCCTAGACAAAAACCACTTCCAACCCCAAAACCTGGACTCCATCCACAGAAAGTGATGCTTTGCATTTGGTGGGACATCAAAGGAGTAATTCATTTCGAATGCCTCAATCCACAGCGAACTGTCAATGCAGAGATCTATAGTCAGCAACTGGAACATTTAAATCAAGCCCTTCATCAGAAACACCCTTCACTCGTCAATCGGAAAGGTGTTCTCCACGACAATGCATGTCCACATGTGGCATGTTTGACACAACACAAGATTGTGGAGTTGAGTTGGGAATTTCTCCCTCACCCACCATATTCTCCAGATATGGCACAATCAGATTACCATCTTTTTCATTCGCTGCAACACCATCTTATTGGGAACATGTATGCAAATGTGGAAGGTGTTAAAGAGGACATCGACATGTTTTTTGTTTCAAAGCCAAATGATTTCTTTAATCAGGGCATTAGCAACCTGATTGTAAGATGGAAAATAGTCGTCAATAAGAATGGAGACTATTTCATTTAATAAATCTTTTGTTTTGATACTTAAGTTGTTCGGGTTTTTTTTTCATCTAAAAAAAAGTGACATTAATTTCTTGATGACCTAATGTATAAAATGGATGATGCACTACATTGGGCATATAATTAGATTTTAGGGTAGGTTGGTAGAGATTATGATGAGTAGTAAAAGCAAATTAGGTTTACACCTGCCCCATGCTTGGTATTGTTGGCACACAAAAATATAACTAATAAAAAAGAAACAAACAAGTGTAATAAAAACATTTTTAAATTTTATAAAGACAAGTAGGGATCAATATATACATAATTTAGCTAGCTATGGTAATATAGAAGGTTCTAATGCAACAAAAAGTATTGAAACAAGAAAGTCAAACTACAAAAACTGAGTTACTTAAATTTTATCCCTACATCAGCTCAGATTATCATGATTACAGTGATTTGCCAAAGTAGGGATAAAGTTTTAAGTAACTCAGTTTTTGTGGTTTGACTTTCTTCTTTTGATGCTTTTTATAGCATTAAAACTTTCTATATTACTATAGCTAGCTAAGTTATGTATATTTAATCCCCACTTGTCTTCATAAATATTTTTAATTATACTTGTTTTTACTAAATTACTGGTATAACTTGAAGAGATTTCAAAAACTGAAAGCTTTTGATTATTGATTATATAGAATAAACATGTAATATGTTTCATTATAATCTTTGGCAGGTATTTTTGAGCTGTTTTCAGTACTTTTGAAAAATACATTTATATTAATTGAGAAAATTTATTTGTGAGAGCTTCAAAATGTACAGTAAACAGACTTGTTCTTCCTATGATTTCAGGGTATAGCTAAAAGAAATTTTGGTATAATATAGAATATTATTTTATCATTAAAACATATTTTTCTCTAAATATCTGAGTAACCTGTACTTAGTTTCATATAACATTGGTTTTAACAGTTAGAGTTGTTATTGTTTGTGAAAGCAATGGATTTATCAGATTTTGTGTTGTATCAGAATATTGAAGTAGACTTCAAACCATTTCCTGGTGATTGGGTTGTTGCTGATATTGTGACTTTTGAAGATAGTGAAACTGTTAGAGTATTAAAAATCAAACCATTGAGGCAGAACAGTACTGTAGGGAAAGTCTCTTCAGTACAACATGACAGAGGTATTGTTGATGGTGAGGTAAGTATTTATTTGAACATTCAATTACTCCTATTTTTAATGTATTAAAAAGAATGGTTACAGTACTGTATATGTGTTAACAGTTATTTCAAGTAAAATATAATATTGTATCCTAAAAAGTTCAGATGATGATCTAGAAGTTTGAGTGCTTTCAAAATGTTAATACATTTCATTATCTATCAAACTACCTTTAAAGGCAAGCAATATTAAAAAATTTAAATATTTTTCTCAGATCATCAGTTTCATAGAAATTAATCTGTATAAAAAATTAGGCATTGTTAAAATGACATGTAATCCACATTATAAGACAGAAGTTTTGTTATTGAGCATATGCTTTTTTTTTGTCTAATTGTCATATATTTATCTTTAGATAGTTTACTTTTATTCAGCCTGTGATATTAAATACCAACCACGAAGAGGAGATTCTGTTACTGTTGTAGCAATAGAAAGTGACCAGGGTAGATTCCAGTGGCGAGCTTTGTCAATAAACCCAAAGCAAATGTCAGTACCTTCACTGAGGTATGCTGTTATTTCTACGTTGTAACATTCAAGTTTCAACTAGAGCATAAACATTTCAGACATAATATTTTATACATCAAGTATATTGAAAAAGCTCGTATTACAACCAGAGTAATTTTCAAAATGCAATTATTAATATGTGCATTTTGTTAATTAAGAAATTCACACTTCTTTTTTAGATAGATAGATATTTTTACTTATTTTTTGTACTATAATCTAATTTTCATTTATATGACAATTGCAGAATGAGATCTTGTTTATATGCATTTCCATAAAATTATGTTGTACAGTGAATTAATTTTTTCAAGAAAAATACTTTTTTTTTTTTCTGTAAGATAATTTGTCTAGAAATTTTGAACACATCCTGATTATTGAGACTAAATTTTTACAATAAACAAATAGGAAATTCAGTTCTTTAATCTAATAAGATATAATTTGAAATAATATCGATGAACTAAAGCTGCCACATCAGTATTGGCAGTTTTCCTAGATTTATCTAAAGTTTTAAGAACAGTTCATAATTTGAAAAACAAATAGAATATTTTGGAATTCCTTTTTTCTTTTGGGTCATTTTAACATATAATTATTTAATGAAAGAAAACATCATTTAAATAGAGCTCCCTATTTTCATTGCAACAGACAAAGCCATGTTTGTTTCTGTTTGGTTTTTATATAATAACTTTCATCATTGTTTATGATGTATTGATAATCAAATGTTAAGAACTGTTGAAAAATATGAGAAAAAAAAAGAGACATTGTTTCTGTTAAAACCTGCAATATTGGGAAGTACTGTTAGAATAATGTTAACAGTGTTTCTCTATATTGCATCCCCCATATTGTTATGCAAAAAATATAAACTATTATTCAATTCATTATATATGCCATAATTACACTAACCTACTGTTTTGTAGTATGGGAGTGAAATAACTAAAACATTTTGCTACAACTTGGAATCTAATAAATTTTAACAAATACTATCCAAGAAACATAAGTTATTTACTAGGTTTAATAATGTATGTGTTATGAATTGTCAGTCATTTAACAGTAATGTGTAATTTCTTTAACAATTGTTTTTTTAAAGATTTCATACTCAGAAGTCACCTACTCAGAGCAATTTCATGCGTGAACTGTTGTCAGACAAAAACAGTATTACCATATCTTCACCATTGGATTTTCAGAACATTCACTTAGGAAAAAAGAAATATATTACTGCTTGGATTAGGTAAACCATTTATAACTGCTTAGAAGATGTTTTATTCTGATTATGCATTGCTATTTTTATGCTATAAATGTTATAAAACCTGAAATTGTGAAATATTTTCTTTTGGATAGTTATATATGACACCTATCTCGCTGGTAGCATCTTTTATTTGATACCAACCTCCAACATGCTCAACTAAACTACAGTAATTATTTCATATTTTAGATACTCACTTCATTCTTGGAAATTAGTCTCAATTGGACCATTTTTAATCTTAAGCCAACTTTTCCTTGGAATAACAAAGGAGAATTTGCCCATCAAGGCTATTCCATTTTCTACCACCACTCTACTACAATTTACATACATAAACTCCCTTTTTCTTTATCCAAATCTGATCTATAAAAATCTTATTCATTCTTCTCTTAAACACCTTCAGTGTTGTAGTTTCTGCCATACCTCAAAGAAAATTATTCCATAGACCAATCACCCTTTTAGAAAAGTAATATTGCTGTAACTGTAGTTGTGTTGGAGTTTTCCAAATATTAAACTTGTGTCCTCTAGTCATGCTCCCTGCAAATATTTGTATGAAATTATCATTTAGATTTATAGATTCCAAACCTCCAACAATTTTAAAAACCTTAAACATATCACCTTGAGTCTTCCTCTCCAAATGAGGCCTAACCAGGTGTAAAATTCTCAAAAAAAAAGTAGAGGTACTCAGCTGGGTGAAGTGGACCTGCTTTTGAAAAAATAAAAAAAATCTATATATAAACGTAATAAACAATGAAGCAGCTCAAATACGTTCCGGCAATAGTATAGCCTTAAAAAATAAGTTCTGGTACTCAGTACTGGTGAGTACTGGCAGAATTTCACCACTGGGCCTAGCCAACCCGTTATTAAATAAACTAATGACTTCCTTCAACTTTTACTAAATATTTCTATGTACACAACCTAAATCCTGTTTATCTTATTACTCACTAATGTATGTGATGTATAAGGCTTTAGAGACATTATAATTTACATACAGAAACTCTCTTTTCATATATCCAAATCTGATCTATAAAAATCTCATTCATTTTTACCTTCAGTGTTGTAGCTTTTGCCATACCTCAAGGCAAATTCCTTATTGTTTTCTCCTTATTGTATCTCTCAAGATCTCTGAAACTATGTTACACAGTAATAACTAATGTGTCCATTAATTTTATTAGCTTGTTCCTTAAATTATCTAGTGCCTTCTTGACAGGACGGTACAAAATGTCAAGATAAAACATCTCTATGTTGAAGCTAGTTTAATTCAAGTACTTGAAGAAGGCTCAAAGCTGAAAATATTTTCTACTAATAAATCATAATTTTTATTATTCTACTGAAAGTGTTGATCACTGAATCTTTATCTTGAAATCAGCTTGTTTTATTTATAATTTTTATTGTGTGTTGGCTTTCCTATGTTAATTTTTCCACCTCAGTTATATGATTTTTGTTCAGTTGTAACTAAAAACAACAAATTAAGAGAAAATTTATATATGGTTATGATTTAATAATGTTATTATGACAGTTCTTTTTTATTTTGTTTTTAGGAATGAAGGCTGTTCTGAGAAGGTCTTGCTGTTGTGTAAATTACAAACATCAGGTTCATCAGACTGTCAGTTTTTACTTGGAATGCCTAAGCTCTATAACTTTCCTCAGCAGGATGTGGCATCATTGTGTAGTGTTGCTCAAAAAAATACTTCAAGTTGTGTACCAAATAATGCCCTGGTACTCCCTCCAAGATCTGTGGCTTACCTGAATATCACCTGTGATGCCAGGTTGTATTTCATGTTCTTTATCATATAGTTTGTTAGCTCTTTCCTTACAGCAAGGTCAAAGTGTGCATATCATTACTTTTTGTCTAGGTAATTAGACAACTTTTATTAATGTAAGGGGTGTTGCAAAATACATCACACTTTTTTTTACCCAAGAGCATAACAAAGTGGGTTCCTCGTCACCGAAAGTAAAATAAGATTTTTAATTCAATCAAAAAAGTAATTCCAAGTATCGGTTTTGCTTGATTGGGCCACCATTGTTCTCATGCACAAGTTTTAATTGATTTGCAAAATATTTCAGCAATGCAACAAACATGTTTGTTTCTATAGCTGTCTCTGTGAGCACATCAGTGAGAACACGAATCAAGGTTTCACGTTTTTGTCTCTTGCATTCAGGCAAAGTTTCCAACATTTCTTCTATGCATTGTTGAACAAAACTCCGACATTTTCGGAGGGATTTAAATCTGGAGAATTCCCAATCCACATTCCACCACTTTTTTACTGACCACTCTTTCAAATTCAACAATTCTGAAACTTTGAGGCATTAATTGGATTTTTGAAATCTGGCATTGCGATGTGTCAATTGGAAGACTTGAATTCTTAAAGCAACATGTTTGTTTCTATAGCTGTCTCTGTGAGCACATCAGTGAGAACACGAATCAAGGTTTCACGTTTTTGTCTCTTGCATTCAGGCAAAGTTTCCAACATTTCTTCTATGCATTGTTGAACAAAACTCCGACATTTTCGGAGGGATTTAAATCTGGAGAATTCCCAATCCACATTCCACCACTTTTTTACTGACCACTCTTTCAAATTCAACAATTCTGAAACTTTGAGGCATTAATTGGATTTTTGAAATCTGGCATTGCGATGTGTCAATTGGAAGACTTGAATTCTTAAAGCACGTCTGTAACTAGTTTCTGAGCCATCCCGAAGGCAGCACATGTGACACGAACCTGAGTTCTAGTGAGCACCATGAAATTTGAAGAGTCAAACACCCAAGAGTACGTTGAAATGACGTTTTCTCACAAGTGATGATATTCATGGTCCTACCAAGTTCATCATTACTTTAGGGAAAAAAGTGTGATTTATTTTGCAACACCCCTTATGTGAATACCCTTGGCATCAAACCATAGATTATAATTCAAATTTTAATATTAAGTTTTAATTTCTTAATTTCAAAAGAAGATATTTAAAAAATTATCAGCCTTCACTTATAGGTGTCATGTGAAGCATATGTGCTCTTAAGTCTCTCTTTTAGATTGTATAACTTAAATAATATAGCTTCTATAGTGTCTAAGGAATTGGAAACACAAACTATAAATTTGTCAAACCCTCTCATCTTTCCATGAATTTAAAACTAATTATTCACTTATGCCTACTTCTCTTATAGACATGTTTATAACCAATAGAAAAAGCATATATTTATATGTACAGGAATCTTAAGTTTATTTGTTCTGATGGGCAAAGATGGTAGTTCAAAAGAAAAGTTTCTTTTGTGTTGAGTAAAGTTGTTGCTCTGAGCAGTAATGGAATTTTTATAACCTATTTATAGCTTGATTAGAAAGCCAGATAAATCATAGTAGTTTTGGGACATTCTGTTCTAGTGCCTAATTTTTCTTGTTCTAAAATGCATATTTGAAAATTATGTGAATTATTTCTTGGGAAACTAACAGAAAAAGTAGGGTTACTGAAGCATGACATTCAAGTGCAACCATGTTCTGTGCTGAATTTATTGTTTTTATGTATATTTTTGTTTAATATTATATATTTTTTCAACAAAAGTAACTAAAATTTTAAATTTAGAAACTTAATAGGTAACAAGATGTACGGAAAAGTTAAATGAGTTGGCAGTGGGTGCCTTCCCTCTAGTCTTACAGTGCTAGATTAGGGACAACTAACACAGATAGACCTTGTGTAGCTTTGCACAAAATTCCAAACAAACAATTGCAGGAAAGTTGTTGAAAAGTTTTAAGTTTGAATTTAATTGTCTACCAGTGGTTCACTGGTAAATCTGAAGGCTTATCATGCTAAAAATTAGTTTTTGATACTTGTAGTGGGCACAGTACAGATAGCTCTTTGTGTAGCTTTGCTCTCAATCAACAAACATTGAACTTTATTTTTAGATCTTTATTAAGTTTCTAGTTTATGATTGTTGGGATATTCGTGTTCATGTAGTAGCCCTGGTGCCAAGTAGAATACTTATCAAAAGCTTTTTTCTCAACACATACACCATCAGAAGATCTTTGGGAGGATAGTGTTGTAATTAGTTTTCCTGTAAAATTTTAGGATAATTGAGTAAATACAGGTAAAATGGCTTAATAAATTAATTAGATAATTAAGGAGGTGCTCTTTAATTACATTCTCCTTAAACTATATACAAACATTTGAATTGAACATTATATGCATATATTATTCTATCCACAAAGGAAATACATAACTATACATTATATATTATTTTTAAAACACATTTATTTGTGTGTATAACAATATTAGAATTGTATCAGATAAGAAGTTAATAGGGCAATTTGTCAGTAAAAGTAGATTAAGTTAATTATGTCATCAATTAAGTAGTGATATTTATATATATTAATTCTACTCACAGTGAGCACTTAGCTAGTCTTTACCAACATAAAAAATTTGGCCTCATTGAGCTGCAGGAGTTCTGTCTTTTGTTTAATTAAACATCTCAAGTGGTATTTAGTGTGATAATGAATTGTGGCTAGTAGTAAATTAATGTAGAAGTCTCATATACCTTTGACTATGCATATAGCTTATGCTAATATTGATTTCTAAAGTATTTCAATATTTAAATAGTGCCTTTAATTTAAATTACAAAATATATTTTTTTAAACTAGAAAAGATGCAGAAGTAAAGAGATGTTTATCTAATATATTGGAATTACTGATTTTTAATATTTTCACAGGCATTTGGGGAAAACCCAAAACCTAGTCTTGTTCAAATTTCAAGGATTTGAAATAGCTCGGTATGTCACTGTGAAGGTGGAGGATTCTCGGCAGGAACAGCTGAATCCTAGTGCACCTTATCAACCAAATAGAAGAATAACAAGGAACATTAGGAATGCAGAATCTGTAACGAATGGCATGCTGGTTCCTGGAGAAAAATTAAGGAGGTACTCCTTCAATGTATTTTCCCCTATATTTCTTCTGAAATTGAAAGAAAACTTGTTACTAGGTTATGGCATTAAATATAAAAGTTTTTCAAATATTTTTTATGTGACTCTGTGTACTTATTACAACTATTTGGATCATTTACACTGTAGTTAAGATTTAGCAGGTAAACATAGTTATTTTGGAGCAGATGATTAGTAATTTAAAATAAAACTTCGTAATGCGTCAAAACAAATACCTGTTGTCACGCCAGAGTGTATGTGCAGGCCATTCATTGAATCCTATATAAGGAATACTACTCATTGCCAATTATTAGCACTTATACTCCTATTAAAGCAAAAAATTATTATTAGAATGTTTCACTTTAATTACAACTTGTAAGTTGTACAATGTAGATCTGGAACTGTGCTAATTCAATTGAGTTAAAGTAAATATGGGGAGGCAACAGTTGTAATGAAGTTATATGCCAAGATCATATAGCCAGGAGGTGTTCCTCGTCTCTTCAAGAACTATATCCACAGTACAAAGAGAAGTAGGTTTATAGAACAGATCTTACATTTCTAGTGAAGTATCAGAAGTAAATCCCATTCTCTGGTCTTCTAAGTTGACTAGCAATGACTTCTAATATGGGTAGGCCACTTTAGAAATTATACTTGCCTGTCTGTGCCACAAAGAGCTATTACTTCACATAAAATGCTGGGTAAAGCTCCCACTTTTACACTTGTCAACGTGGATTGTGCCAGCTTATAATGTAATCATCATTAGTCTATAGCCTTCCACTAGTAAGAGGGCAACATACTATCCATGCACAGTAATCCCCATGAGCAATAGCATTTGAACATAGGTTCATTCTTTCCTTGGCACTTCTTGTCTTCAGATGTGCTTCTTACTTAAAATTTACCAGAATTTTTGCACTTATTATTTTACCCTTTCATTACTAATCGGTATGTAGTCTTTCCTTAATTTTCTTGATTATATGAAAGAAATATTAAATCTTAAACTTATCAATCAAAACTTTCATTTGAATTATCTTCAACTTGATTTTCTTTTACTCAACTCTGTACTTTTGGGGCACATGTCCTATTGTCTATTCCTGTTGCTTAATATGGGTTTTGTTCAGTACTTATCAATGCTATTATTAGGCCTATACACCATTTCCATACCTACTCAGTTTCTTTCTATCTTATAATTAAAAAATTGTAGACTTCTACATATTTTACAAAAATGGACCACCACAATATCAGTTTCTTGGATTATCTAGATTATGCACTCATGTTCCCATATTTCCTACATCTCCCAAGTTTTTAACATTCCTTCTCAGGAGTCATCCAATACTGTAATGATGACTGGAGACTCTAACAGTCAGTGATATTACTGTCATTGTTCACCATGTGGTTGGTTCCATTCTGATTTCAGATTTAAGATCCCTGACCTCCTGCTTCTGTTACTTCAGCTGAGCCTGCCCCATCTTCATGTTTCTATACCTGCTTTTGCTTCTCATTCCCTCTTCGTGACATGGATCAGTTATTCCCTTTTTCGTCATTCACTGCTTGGATTTCATTGGTATGTTTTTTGTTTTCTCTTTCTCCAACAATTTTTTTTTTGTCTTGGACTCCTTTGTTGCATGAGTCTCCTTCAACTGAATCTTTTCTTTCAACTTAGAGAATTCATATTTTTCCATTTGTTTATCTACATCTACTTATTTTCATCTCTTACTCAACTTTGTTCATTCTCATGACCTTTATTTGGAGGTTCTCCACCTCAACCCTATCATCTTTAATGGGGTATCTTACACATGCCTGTTTTCAGCCTTGCTCTCACTTTTCTTACATTTTCTCCAAGCTACATTGATATCTGGGGTGTACTTTATCAGTTTGCCTTACTTCCTAACTTTTGGCTCCCTCAGTCTCCTTTGCAGGACCTCTGTCATGCACATTTTCTTTGTGTTGTGATTTTTAGAGGTATTTCTTACACTTTGGAAACTTGAGATGATGAAGTTCTTTAGAAGTCATCTCTGTTCACTTTGGTTTCTTGGCCTTGGGACCAGGGGGCTTACCCAGTTTCTCATCAAATACAGCTATATTGGGTCACCCCTTGTCTTTTCTTTGTCCTCCTGTTACTATCCATCATCTCCCTTCTGTTTGAGGGCTGGTCATCATTGGTCTTGGTGGTAATTTGTTTCTGGAACCACCCCCTCAGCTTCAGTTATGTGCAAGCTCTGCTCTCCCACTTTGTTCTTTGGTGGACTCCCTTTGCTACAGCCTATTGAGTTCCTCAGGAGCATTCTCATGGATTTTTCTTCTTCGTCTGTTTTAAGTGCCATGGAACAATTCCTCAACCCTACTCTAGGGTTTTACTTCCATCTTTTTATCATTCCCACAAAGGTTGGAGATTGTTGTTCTTATTTTTCATGCCTTTTCCCATCAAGTTTATCATCTCACAATTTCTCTTGCCACTGAAGCAGGCAGAGAAGTGGATGATCTCTGACACATTAGTGTCTTACTACTTATATCACATGGAGGTTTCACCTGTCTTGGTTTTTGTCTCCCTCCAGTCACCATTCTGCACTCTTCACAGTGGCTCTGTTGATGCATTATTTACTTTTCTTCTTTCTTTTTAAGGTCTCACAACCAACTTATTCAATATATATATATATATATATATATATATATATATTATGGAGATGATTGGAACCTACTGAGTGGCTGATGTTGATCCAAAGGGAATACTTACCTAAAATCCACATCATGTTAAGCTCAACTGCTCCTGCTCATTGCCTGCTGTTGAGATGGGATTTTAAGCAAGACTATCTTGGCAGTTTCTATGTATTTTATATTTCAGGATATTTTGCACTTGTTAATAAAAAACAAAATAAAGAGCAACAGGTGTGTGCCTGCCCTCTCACCTGGCTCACACCTGTCTTTAGTTGCCATAATCCATTGCACTGTCTCTCAATGGGACCTACTTCCAGATAATTATGTCTGATAATGTGGTCTGAGCACTTCTCCATTTTTCTCCCATCCACATGAATGTCTCATGGAGAGTTCCTTATCTGGCAGCATACTTTCATCAGTTGCATCCCTCACTTGGGAAGTAGTAATGAGGTGTTACCTGGTAATTTAGTAAAGGTCACTCCACTACATTATAAACTAAGCCATTCCTGGTAATTTAGTCCAGCCGTTGGGTCTTGGATTTTTTCTGGGACATAGGTCTAGTATGTTTCACCTGATTACTGTGGTGAGAATCTCATGTATTCCTCTTATATGGAATGACCTGACTTGTAGTCCTACCCACACTACATACACTTGCTCAGCTGCCCATGTGTTAAATAATGGCTAGTTCAGTAATCTTACATTTCATCCACCTTAAATATGCATAAACACAATGAAAAGTTTCTTGTGACACTTCCTGTTGCTCTATTTCCTTACTTAACAACAAATACCACAATTAAAGAATATTCTCTGCTTGAAATGGATGTGGTCTCCCACTGGGAGCTGCCCCTGCTTTGTGAATGTCACACTTCATGGACTTTCCATTTTTGATGATGTTTATAGTTCATCTTTGTAACTTCTTTCTCTCCACCATCTTCAATGTGGGATTCTAGCTGTCTGTTATGCAGTGAGATGAGTAGCATTTCTGAAGTTAACATTGTCCTTACCTGAAAATTTATTACAGATAGATACTTACCTCTTTGCACCACTTTCCACCCTTGCTCCCCACTTCTGGTGTATATAGTTTGCCTCATCAAGAGTGAGCGTTTGTTCAAATGCTAGTGTTCATGGGGATTACTGTGCATGGAGGATGTGCCATCTTCTCAATAGTGGATATAATATGATGATTACATCAGAAGCTAAAGCAATACACTTTGATAAGTGTAGGGATGGGAGCTTTGCTCCAGACTTGTGGCATGTGCAGGAATTTACATGGCAGTTTGTACGAAGTAATAGGTCTTTGTAGTGCTGATGATAGTGGGATATTCCAATATTTTTTATATCCACCCATAAGCCTCTTTGCTATGGAATCAGTGTACTCAAGTTTGCATGCAACATGGGTATGCATAAAGATATACTACAGAAGACTTCTGCATAAATTCAACTTTGTCCTTAAGGTGAAACATACTTCTTAGTCTGTTTTGTATTTTAATAATATATATTTGTGCCTTTGGATAATTTCTGCGAACTCAGGTACAACTTAATTGCATTTGACTAGTATTGGCAAACATACATTGCAGTAGAGTGGAGTGCTTTCCAAACAGCAGTTAAAAATTATTTTATAAGTTAGGAATGAAAGTAACCTATACATATTAGAAATCATCTCCATTAGACTTAGAAAATTAGCATAGAACAGGCTGTACCTTTGAAACTTAAACTCAAGCTCATAGAGACTTTAATATATGACCTGATTTTGTGAAGTATGCTTATCTACTTAACTTATTCAGTAATTATTGGGAAGGAGTGTTATCTATGCGTATATTAGTTTCTTTATAGTACATTTAGTTTGACTTTTTAATTCTAGGAGCAGGTTCCCTTTGTTTTTTCCTCAGTACCCTGTACCAAATGCCTTGTGGGAAGCTGTACTTCAAGGGCAAGACATTCTTAGTGTTGCACAATGTCTTATAGAGGTAAAAATATTTTAATAATTTGTGAATATTCAGTTGCTTGTCAAAAGTTGCAGAAGGTGTATTAGTAGCTATATGAATGATTGAGATCTCAGTCTTAACTAGGAGAGGAGAGAGATTGTTGAAATTTGTATGCTTCATTCAAAGAAATATCATGGGTCATAGATACCTCTCCCACTAGATACATTTTATCAGTTTAACTCTATATATGTGTGACATCAGTTTTTGTTTTGTGGCATAATTTTTTTAGCTTTGAAGACATCTGTGTATCTTGAACTGTTATTTATGTGTGTGTGTGTGTCCACTTATAACTGGTAAGCTACTGGACTGATTTCTCACCAAACCTGGCACATACCCTTAGAGGCCCCTGGGGAGTGACAAGGGGGAATTAACATTTTGAACTGGTCACTTGTGTTTTCTCTCTCCATTGAAAGGATATGTTAGCTACTATGTAATATAGTGTTTGAGTGTATATATATATATATATATATATATAGTGTGTGGTTAGTGTGTATATAGTGTGTGAACTATCATACGTAACCTAGAGACTCGACCGAACGGACACCACGGAGGGGAGTAGG